TATAGCTGCGATGCTGTCACTCTCCATTTTTACTCACTCATAAACCACAATATTAGTCAGCTCAAGCTGCCACAATCAAATACCATAGACTGGGTGGCCTAAACAACAAAATTTATTTTATCATAGCCCTGGCTGGTGGAATTCTGAGGTCAGGACATCAGCATGGTCAGGATCTGGTGAGGGCTCTCTTTCTGACTTGCAGACTGTCTTCATGCTGTGTTGTCACATGAAATTTCCTCTGTACATGTGCAGAGGCAGCCCTCTGGTGTCTCTTCTTCTCATAAAGACACCGATCATATTTAATTAGGGCCCCACCGTTATAACCTCATTTAACTGTAATTACCTCCTTAAAGGCCCTATCTATAAATACACCTACATTGGGGGTTAGCAACTGAATATATAAATACTATAGAGACTTTTCAGTCTATGACAGCCCCACCTGTGTTACCTAAAGGTCCTTATCCCTTGTGAATATTCTGGTGTTTCAGGAGATTAGAGCTGAAGGTAAAGGACTTCCCACATTCATTACACTCATAAGGCCTTTCTCCAGTGTGAACTCTCTGGTGATCACTGAGGTTAGAGCTCTGGCTAAAGGATTTTCCACATTCACTGCACTCAAAAGGCCTTTCTCCAGTATGAACTCTTTGGTGTTTAATGAGGCTAGAGTGGTGGCTAAAAGACTTCTGACATTCACTGCACACATAAGGCCTTTCTCCTGTGTGACTTCTCCGATGTCTGATGAGACTAGAGCTCTGGCTAAAGGATTTCCCACATTCACTGCACTCATAAGGCCTTTCTCCAGTGTGAACTCTCTGGTGTTGAAGGAGTGTAGAGCTATGGGTAAATGATTTCCCACATTCCCCACACTCATAAGGCCTTGCTCCAGTGTGAATTTTCCAATGTGTAATGAGGTAGGATTTGCAGGTAAAGGATTTTCCACATTCACTGCACTCATAAGGCCTTTCTCCAGTGTGAACTCTCTGATGTATAACGAGGTCAAACTTCCTGCTAAATAATTTCCCACATTCATCACACTCATGAGATCTTACTCCAGTGTGAACTCTCTGGTGTTGGAAGAGACGGGAGCTATAGCTAAAAAATTTCCCACATTCACTACACTCATAAGGCCCTTCTCCAGTGTGAAGTCTCTGGTGTTTAATGAGGTGACAGCTCTGGCTAAAGGATTTCCCACATTCACTGCACCTATAAGGCCTTGTTCCAGTGTGAACTCTCTGGTGTGTAATGAGGCTAGAGCTATAGGTAAAGGATTTCCCACACTCACTGCACTCATAAGGTCTTGCTCCAGTGTGAATTCTCTGGTGTGTAATGAGGCTAGAGCTATGGCTGAAGGATTTCCCACATTCGCTGCACTCATAAGGCCTTTCACCAGTGTGAACTCTCTGATGTACAATGAGGTCATACTTCCTGCTAAATAATTTTCCACATTCACCACATTGATGAGGTCTTACTCCAGTGTGAACTCTTTGGTGTGTAATGAGGCTAGAACTCTGCCTATAGGATCTCCCACATTCCCCACATTCATAAGGCTTTTCTGAAGTGTGAACTCTCAAATGATCACTGAGGCTATAGCTTGTGCCAAAAAATTTGCCACATTCATTGCACTTGTAACATCTTTCCCTACTGAGGACTCTCTGGTGCTGAACAAGTGTGTGTTTGTAGCTAAAAGCTTTCATACATTCTCCCCAGTTGTAATGACTTTTTACACTGTGAAAGGCCACTGTACTCTCAGTTCTGCTATTTGACTTCTCCCCAGTATGAGTAAACTGTTGCTGGAGAAATCTGGAGCTGGCCAGAAAATCCTTCCCAAACTCTCTGCAGGTAAAGGGCTTCCAGGATACTTGCAATTTGCAGCTGCTCTGAAAGGAGTCTCTGCCCATGTTGCTCCTGAAGCCTTTCTCTCCAATGTGCTGTTTCTGGTGCTGATGAAGGTATGTAGTGAATTGTAACCATTTCTCACATGCCCCATCCATGTACAGTTTCTGCCCATGACGTGATCCCTGGTACTCAACCAAGTGCAAAATGTCTCTGAAGACCAGGCCACATATCTCACAGGGGCTGGCCTTCTGGGGAGAAGGATGAGCTTTGGGAGTCCTAACCTGTGACAATCCTTGTGCAGAAATGCTCTGTTGAGAAGTTGCCTCCTTATCCTTTGCTGCACACCAACATCCTGAAAGAAAGGAAATGCTGGTGATGTACTTGTTGAATTTAGTAAGGGGGGCAGCCCATAGACAAACGTGTGTCTGACAAAGCCAGGAATTGAGTCCATGGGATTGTTTTCAGGATCAGGGAGTTGGGTTCAGGTTGAGGATGGGGCTGCCTAGCAGAAATAAAAAAAGATCATAGAATGGAGGAAGTCTCNATTTAATCTATCTTCCATTGTCATACAAAGGTACTTCAAAAAGTTTAAAGATTCATATTACCTGTTAAATCTATTTTCCCACAAGCTTTTTGAAGTACCCTAGTATTACTAAACATATGGCATTGCTATTTTCAATAAATAAATCATTATATCAATGCTATTAACCGAAGTCTTCGTGATGAGAAAAAATGTAAACATAAAATCAAAGAACTAAAAACAGTAATTCTAAATCTATTTAGAATGATCATGATTCATGATTCAAACGAGGATTCATTGAAATGATTGTTTTTTAAAGTAGTTTTTTGTTTACATTACATTAAATAATTTCACTTTTTTAAATAGTTAAACTTGTACTAAATGTTAGAAGAAACAAAATTACTTTTAATGAACTTTTGGGGGTGTGGGGGGATGGCTTGCCAGTAAGGGGATCTGATTCCATGACCTTGGTGTTATAAGGCTGCACTCTAACCAACTGAGCTAACCAGCCAGCCCCAAAATTACTTTTAATGAACAAAAAATTTAACTATGGGAAAAGAAAATCTGTTGTGTTGGTGTATGAAATAACATATCCAAATAGTATTGGTCATTCTGTATTTCATTATCATTAATTAGAATCTGCAGAGAATGAATTCAACAGTTAAGATAAGTAAAAAATTAGGAGATTTCCAAGTTCATTTCAAGATGAATAAAAATGTTTCCAGAAGAACACACAAGTGTCTCTGTCTTGCTTATAGAGTGATTCACAGGACAAAATATGTTGTAATATCATAAATGTAGGCATTGGTTACATTCTCAGTAAATATATTAATTTAACATAATTCTATAAACATGAACAAAAAAAAATTTACTAGTACGATAAAAACACCAAAAAAAACCCTACAGTGATGAAGCCCAGTAAGATATTGGTAAAAAGAAATGGAAATACTTTGTATAAAATTTTTGAAATAAAGTCATAAACAAAAACATCAATTGAATTGGTATGAGAATTAACAAAAGTTGTATTAATAAGAAAGACAACAGTCTTCAAATCCTGAAATTGCTCATTATTGAATACTTTGCTCAACACAAACTGCAGTTCTTGAACAAATAAATGTTCTTAAATTTCCCCTCATTATAGAGGCTCTATGAGAGCAAAACCAGGATCTAATTAAGAACATTGTATACTCCATGAATGTGATAGGAAGATATCCTTCAGAGTGTGTATGGTCATAATATAGTTTGTTAGAGCAAGCCATGTTTTTCTGTTTTTGGGGTTTTTTTTTGTTTGTTTTTTTTTGGCAGCTGGCTGATACAGGGGATCCAAACCCTTGACCTTGGTATTGTAACACTGCACTCTAACCAACTGAGCAAACCAGCCAGCCCCGCAAGCCACTTCTGACTTCTAGATGTAACAGTAGAAACCTATATTAATTCAGAATTATCTGAGATCTTTCTAAAGAGAAGGGAGCAAAATGTTAATGAAACTTAAGACACTACGAATGTATAAAATATGATTTCATACAGGGTATCATTCAGGTCTTGAAATTCTTCCATGATTATTTTGCTATTTGTTACACAGAATCTTTCACTGACATGTTTCTAAAGTGTGTTCTTTTGTTGAAATAAGACAGGAAGTTTTATTTCTTGCATTCATCAGAGACATGTTAGTAAAATAGTCTTAAGGATTCCATTTGAAAACCAATCACAACTAACCTAATAAACGTGCATACCAACAATCACTACAGAGATGCTCAATGTCCATCCAAATGCTGAGCAAATCATTGTATTCTTGCTTCATGTGTAATGAAGCTCTTAGAGTAGACGTGAGTTTCAGTGTATGTGGTCAGCCATGAGAGGAGTAATCAACAAAGGTTTTAAGAGGAAATATGGCCAGTGTGGGTAGCCCAAAAGCAAGTAGATGAGGTAGCACCATGCCTCTGGGTCCCTCAGAATATGACCCTTATGCATCTCTGTATTTGTGTTCCAACCCCAGAAACAATTGCTTTACCATATAACATTTCTTACTGAATTTTCTGAGATGTACTCTATTCCAAGAATGTGACACTTATCTGAGAATGGTCACATTTGCTGCCAGAACAGTAGCTGATGGAATTCAGGCAGGTGTGGAAAGTGGGCATCTGAACCCTGAAATAAAGGTTTGAGATCCCATGATCTCACCTCCTTTCTGGGAAGTGATTATCATTTCACCCGTAAGTGCAGTGATAGTATCTGCAAGGATTCTAGAGATTACATCTAGAAAACAGTTGTGTAGCAACTAAATTACAGAGTAATTAATGTGGATTGATGGAGTTACCCACTGAGAATGATATAAATATCTAGAAAAGTATCTGTGAATCCCAAGAGAACACTGAGTTCTAAGAACTGAGAGAATTTAGTTGAGCCCAAGATATGTTGGAAATTTGGCTTGCATAAATTTTATACATATGGTCATCTTGGGATACTAATTCATCCACACAAAACAGACAAACAGCTCATAGATCCATCCACTGGGAAAATGTTCCTCTCTTCTATCCTTCTGGGGCACCTTGAATATAGCTGCGATGCTGTCACTCTCCATTTTTACTCACTCATAAACCACAATATTAGTCAGCTCAAGCTGCCACAATCAAATACCATAGACTGGGTGGCCTAAACAACAAAATTTATTTTATCATAGCCCTGGCTGGTGGAATTCTGAGGTCAGGACATCAGCATGGTCAGGATCTGGTGAGGGCTCTCTTTCTGACTTGCAGACTGTCTTCATGCTGTGTTGTCACATGAAATTTCCTCTGTACATGTGCAGAGGCAGCCCTCTGGTGTCTCTTCTTCTCATAAAGACACCGATCATATTTAATTAGGGCCCCACCGTTATAACCTCATTTAACTGTAATTACCTCCTTAAAGGCCCTATCTATAAATACACCTACATTGGGGGTTAGCAACTGAATATATAAATACTATAGAGACTTTTCAGTCTATGACAGCCCCACCTGTGTTACCTAAAGGTCCTTATCCCTTGTGAATATTCTGGTGTTTCAGGAGATTAGAGCTGAAGGTAAAGGACTTCCCACATTCATTACACTCATAAGGCCTTTCTCCAGTGTGAACTCTCTGGTGATCACTGAGGTTAGAGCTCTGGCTAAAGGATTTTCCACATTCACTGCACTCAAAAGGCCTTTCTCCAGTATGAACTCTTTGGTGTTTAATGAGGCTAGAGTGGTGGCTAAAAGACTTCTGACATTCACTGCACACATAAGGCCTTTCTCCTGTGTGACTTCTCCGATGTCTGATGAGACTAGAGCTCTGGCTAAAGGATTTCCCACATTCACTGCACTCATAAGGCCTTTCTCCAGTGTGAACTCTCTGGTGTTGAAGGAGTGTAGAGCTATGGGTAAATGATTTCCCACATTCCCCACACTCATAAGGCCTTGCTCCAGTGTGAATTTTCCAATGTGTAATGAGGTAGGATTTGCAGGTAAAGGATTTTCCACATTCACTGCACTCATAAGGCCTTTCTCCAGTGTGAACTCTCTGATGTATAACGAGGTCAAACTTCCTGCTAAATAATTTCCCACATTCATCACACTCATGAGATCTTACTCCAGTGTGAACTCTCTGGTGTTGGAAGAGACGGGAGCTATAGCTAAAAAATTTCCCACATTCACTACACTCATAAGGCCCTTCTCCAGTGTGAAGTCTCTGGTGTTTAATGAGGTGACAGCTCTGGCTAAAGGATTTCCCACATTCACTGCACCTATAAGGCCTTGTTCCAGTGTGAACTCTCTGGTGTGTAATGAGGCTAGAGCTATAGGTAAAGGATTTCCCACACTCACTGCACTCATAAGGTCTTGCTCCAGTGTGAATTCTCTGGTGTGTAATGAGGCTAGAGCTATAGGTAAAGGATTTCCCACACTCACTGCACTCATAAGGTCTTGCTCCAGTGTGAATTCTCTGGTGTGTAATGAGGCTAGAGCTATAGGTAAAGGATTTCCCACACTCACTGCACTCATAAGGTCTTGCTCCAGTGTGAATTCTCTGGTGTGTAATGAGGCTAGAGCTATAGGTAAAGGATTTCCCACACTCACTGCACTCATAAGGTCTTGCTCCAGTGTGAATTCTCTGGTGTGTAATGAGGCTAGAGCTATGGCTGAAGGATTTCCCACATTCGCTGCACTCATAAGGCCTTTCACCAGTGTGAACTCTCTGATGTACAATGAGGTCATACTTCCTGCTAAATAATTTTCCACATTCACCACATTGATGAGGTCTTACTCCAGTGTGAACTCTTTGGTGTGTAATGAGGCTAGAACTCTGCCTATAGGATCTCCCACATTCCCCACATTCATAAGGCTTTTCTGAAGTGTGAACTCTCAAATGATCACTGAGGCTATAGCTTGTGCCAAAAAATTTGCCACATTCATTGCACTTGTAACATCTTTCCCTACTGAGGACTCTCTGGTGCTGAACAAGTGTGTGTTTGTAGCTAAAAGCTTTCATACATTCTCCCCAGTTGTAATGACTTTTTACACTGTGAAAGGCCACTGTACTCTCAGTTCTGCTATTTGACTTCTCCCCAGTATGAGTAAACTGTTGCTGGAGAAATCTGGAGCTGGCCAGAAAATCCTTCCCAAACTCTCTGCAGGTAAAGGGCTTCCAGGATACTTGCAATTTGCAGCTGCTCTGAAAGGAGTCTCTGCCCATGTTGCTCCTGAAGCCTTTCTCTCCAATGTGCTGTTTCTGGTGCTGATGAAGGTATGTAGTGAATTGTAACCATTTCTCACATGCCCCATCCATGTACAGTTTCTGCCCATGACGTGATCCCTGGTACTCAACCAAGTGCAAAATGTCTCTGAAGACCAGGCCACATATCTCACAGGGGCTGGCCTTCTGGGGAGAAGGATGAGCTTTGGGAGTCCTAACCTGTGACAATCCTTGTGCAGAAATGCTCTGTTGAGAAGTTGCCTCCTTATCCTTTGCTGCACACCAACATCCTGAAAGAAAGGAAATGCTGGTGATGTACTTGTTGAATTTAGTAAGGGGGGCAGCCCATAGACAAACGTGTGTCTGACAAAGCCAGGAATTGAGTCCATGGGATTGTTTTCAGGATCAGGGAGTTGGGTTCAGGTTGAGGATGGGGCTGCCTAGCAGAAATAAAAAAAGATCATAGAATGGAGGAAGTCTCTTGAGTCAAAAGACACAACCATGGGATGCAACACAGGGAGAAGAGACAGAGTCTACTACTCATTCTTGTGCAAACAACATTCGGCAAAATTTTGTCTTCTCCTGACGTGTGTGCATTAAATTGAAGGGTGTGTCCAGGCCCAAGAAAATGTGACAGCAGCTGGTGTACAAAGATGGTTTAAGAATATGTGAACACCTTATACACATTATGTTGGGGCCAATGTTAGAGAGCACTGCAGATGGAGCAGTTTGAGAAAAATAGGTGAGACACAGAGTCCAGAGATGTGATAAGTAGCCCTGGGCTGGATGTAAGAGTTGAAGTGACAAGGCATAAAGATGACAAGTTGGCAGAGTGTCAAGAACGGGGATGGAAAGGCAGTAATGAGCTTTCACTGCAAACTGTCACTAGCACCAAAATAGTAGTTAAACAGAATAGGTTTCTATATGATTTGGACATAGCCCTGATATAATGTTCTGCACAGGTGCTACTTCTCATGGCCAGGCTCCCTCTTAAACCATCTTGCCGTGGCTGGAATCACAGCCAACTTGTGAACTCCTGGGGTTGTATGCCCCAACCCCTAAAGTGAGCAACTACATGACATCTGGCATATACAAGCACCCATGACCATCACAGATGATTCAGCACATAACAGCCCACATGAAAAAAAAACCTAACTATTACAATGAGAACTTCGGAGGAGGGTTTAGCAAGGCAGCCCACTGTCCACATAAGTAGAGACAATGGTACCAATGGCAATTTCTGGCACAGGCAAGCATGAGGAAATGCCAGCCAAAGTAAGTAGAACACTAGCAAAGAGGTACCTTGGATCTGGACAAAGTCACCCAGCCAGGGAGAGGCAAACAAGGTTGAGATCCGTGAAAGTGACTATAAGATGCCTGACCCTGAATCTTTCCCTGTGACGCTGCAGGGAAGCATGTTGCCTGCTCAAAGAGAAAAGAGGGCAGCATACAACCTCAGCCCTACCAACCACAGCACCTACTCAGGGGAAGAAGGAAAGGAAACTGTGCCCATGGTCCTGATGTAAGGACAGACCTGCCCCTGGGGAAAAGGGAAAGAGCACAGACTAGCTCAGGGCACAGGGGTTGGTGTGAAGACTTTACCCAGAGAGGTAATAAGTGCCAAGTTCTCCAACATCACATCATGGTACAGGCGCTTCTGAACCTCATCAAGGAGACCCCATTCCTCCCAGGAGAAGTGCACGGCCACGTCTTCAAAGGTCACAGTACCCTGCCAGGATGGGGACAGATGAAACCACAAACAGCTCCTCTCCTGAGGACCCACAATCCATTCCCCCACACCTCTACCACATGCCCATTCTCCTCCCAAGCTCCCCAACTCAGAGGAGAAACCAGGCAACTGGTGCTGTTGTCTCCTCATGGGCCCATTGATACTGGTTGCAGCCATCAGTGACAAGAGGTAGGTGGAAAAATATATGTCTAAGCTGTGGGCTTGGCACAGAGGGATCCATCTGCTCATGCCAGGATATTCCTCTGGTATGACCAAGGTCATTTGAGTCTCAATACCACTGCTCTGGAGCCATCAGGCATACTCTGAGTGCACATAATTTTTTAGACTGCACACCCCTCACGTGTCCAGATCCCACGGTCACAAGACCATGGCCACTACCACCTCACGGTCCAACACCACAGGCATCTCCCTGGCCTCCCTACATGCTATTTGGGTGAAACAGTGGATGGCCTACAGGCCAAACATGCAACAGCTGACACTGGACAGATGAGATCAATGGCTGTTTATCAATAACATATACTCATAGCCTGGGAGAGGACACCACACTCCATACAGTACTACATGGAGAAAGTACTCCAGAAAGACTAAAGAATCAGGGGCTGTGGGATGGGAGTTTTGTAGTATCAAGAGGGAGAAGTGTCCCTGGTTTCTGCAGAAGGACAGGATTGGCTTGTCTGAAGAACTCTGAAGACTGGTAGGGAAACAAAATCCACTACAAAGTCATAAGCAGAAACTGCTCTGGTTTCCTTGTTAAGAAGGGTTTATTTGGCTAAGAGAGCTTATTCACAGGAGCCGAGTGGGGAGAGGAATTTGCTCTCAGGCCATTTGAGCCTTTACAGTTTTCAAGAGAAGTCAAGGTAGCATATCATATTGGGCCTTCATTTTTGGACTTATACAACAACTTGGCAAACAGCATTCAAACAGGATCCAACATTATCGCAGCCTTTCCACAGTTTCCACTAGTGGTGGCATCCCCAAAATCTTCTATGCAGGCCTCCCTATCAAGCTACAATCCTTGCCTCAGTGTTAGCCATATAGAACCATGTGTGGATCACAGATATCCATGGTCCTAATCCACTTCTGTGCTGTACTTACTGTCCCCTCAGCAGTCACAACCTTCCTCTGTCCGCCAAACCCTCACATGAAGCTCAGCCAGCCTCATTGGCTTACCCACCCTAACCTAGTAACTCTCACAGATGACCTCATTTGACCCTGACCTTATCTTCCAGCCTGAATGAAACACCCCAGGCCCCATCAAAGTCATCACAAAATCCTGGTGAATTCATAGAATGGTGAATATGCATCAGCTCTGGCCTCTTGTCTTGCCTCAATTACTCCTATGCCTCTGCATCCATCTCAAGTCCATTCTCCTCCTGGGAGCCCTATCCACCTGCCACATTACCCTGCCTTTTACACTCTTTCCCTTCATGGCCACCTACCTTGATCACCTGTGTTTGTGATGGCCCATACTATCACCCTGGTACCCAACCAAGAGAACCAGTCCACAGCCCTTACCCTCCCCTTCTTGGCCTGCTAATAGTTTTACAACCATACTCTGGAGATTGCCCCTCCTAAATGTGACCCACAGCTCACTCACCTTGGTCCACACAATAGACACCATATTTTGGATGTCTGCATGCTAAATCTCTCCCTAGACTTCAGACCTGTGTGTTCATCCATTCACTCCTCCACTTAGGCTCTGAAAGATCTCAGACTCTAAACACGGTCCAAACAAACCTTCTGTAGCCCTAGTGAATATTACTCCTACTACCAACTTGTTAATCTCAGTTGATGGAGCTTCTATCCCTACAGTTGCTAATACCCAAAACCTTAGTGTCATATCTGAATCCTGTTTCACTCCCTCACTGTCCACATTAGATAATCTAGTTGCCCCCTTTCAAAACACACATCCACAATCCAACCACGTTTAAGCCATGACTCCGGTCCATTAACCCTCACGTGGACTATGGCAATAGCCTCCACCTTGACCTTCCTCCTCCCTCAATCCCGCAGTCTGTTCTCCACTGTGCAGCCAGATAGAGCCAGGTAAGACCTTGATAAATCATCTCCTTGCTCTGATCCAAACTTCCTGTTACCTCCAGAATAGACATCCAACTTCTCAGGCAGTCATTGCAGTCCTGTCTCCTATCTCCCTAATCTATGTTCCCACCAGAAAGCAAGGAGACCTGTGGTTTCCTAAATACTC